GGAGGGGGGAAAGCCATATTTATTTACGTTAGTAAAACAGAAACAAAAAAGCCTTCAAAACTGTAGTTTTTAAATTATTTGCGTCTTACAATAAATACAAATCCTCAAACATTTATTGAAATGAACACACACAAAGAGAGAGAGAGAGAAAAAGACAAATCCAAAACAGTGACACCATGTACAGTTGTGCGTGTCGACTCCAAAACCTTTCTGGATAGGCTGAACTTCAACTGAACTATTCCCAGTAGTGCAACTTAGCTTCACAAAACTGAGACTGACATTGATTTAATTTGGTGCTTTTTAAAAAATTCACTAGTGCAAAAATACTGATGTGAACACAAGGTCCAATGTTTCGGGGCTGAATGGACGACATGAAAGGCGTCATAATGAAAAGGCAATGAAAGGGGGGGGGGGGTATATGAGCTGAAATGCAGAACTTGTCATGAACACTCACCTATGCTGTACAATATTACCTCCAAGAGAAGGTGCGACAGGAGTTTTATGATCTAAAATGATGACGTTTGAAAGATTTTAATTAAAATATTTTACTGTTTGACGATTTAAAAAACCAGCAGTTACATCATGATTTCAGTTAGTATCACTTTTGAATTACCAGCCTTCTTAAACTTTGATCTTGTGCACTCTGGATTTCATCTTCCCATTATCCTTTTTCACAAAGAAGCCCAGCAGCCAATGCAAAGCAGCACACTAACAAGGTACCAATCAATGCGTTGCTCATGGAGACTTCAGCACAGCGCCACAGGGCTTGTGTTGGAGGTTTGTTTCCCTGCTTGCTTCTATGTAATCTGACTGATTGTAACATACAAAAAAAATATGCTTAAAGTTTAAAGCTTTGGCTCTACTGATAGTTTGACATGTTTTACACTATACAGTATTAATTGGTCTCCAGTTTTCTGAGCAGTTCTGCAGCAAGGATGACTTTTTAAAACTTTCCAATGCTGCATCGAAAGCTACGCTTTTAGACGATTCAGAACACAAAACAAACGGGCATCCCGTGAAGGATCAAAAAGGATTTTGTCATGCATTAAAATATCCTCGAATGAATGAACAAGTGTTTTACGGTGCTTTACGTATTATCTTGTGGCACCAATTTAACTTTGCTCACCCTGTTTGTTTTTTTTAAACTGCCCTGGCAGTAATTTAAAAGCATGAAAACATGCAAAAATCACCTGTTTTTCTCATACTCACTCGTCATCTTGAGACCAGCGTAAGCATAAGTCGTCCCCTGTGTGCAACGTTAAGAAAACCAAAACATTTCTCGACAGCTAAATCTTTGTTTCTTCCACAAAAGTCAGGTGTCCACAACATATTAAAAAAAATAAAATAAAACTGTGTTTCAAAAGTCTTGTCGTCGCTAAATCTAAAAGTGCTTGGAACCAGCTACAAAGTTTAATCCTTACAAACAAACGAATCTATGCATAAACTGGATTCGTATTAATTTTGATTGTCACAACACTAGAACCTGAGCTTCTTCGTCAAACAGAAGAAGTATGTGACATCCTGGAAATCCCTTAAAAAATAACTCTTCTCTTATAATGCTGGTGTATGAAAACCATAAGACAAAGTACTTTAATGCGCACTGATTTCTTTGCGTGTTCTTTGTGTGTGTGTGTGTTTGTGGAGAGGGTAAGTATCTGCAGATGTGTTGACGTCTCACTTTCACGGCATGTAAATATATGGACTGGACTTGTGGTGTCCTGTGCTCATCACACATGGCATAACGTTCCTGGAGCCGACCATTACGGACTGGTTCATGTCATGGCCGCTCTCAGGCCACGGCGGCGAGTCCATGGGCTCCCGCTTGATCGAATGGATCAGGCTGTGACCTTTGAACTCGTAGGTGCCATGCTTGTTGTAGTCAGACTGCATGTAGGCCTTGTGTGGATCCTGTGAGTAGACGTGCGAGTCCATGAGGTTGACGGATTGGCTGCTGCATAGAGAGTCTGAGTGTGGGAATCTCTGAGGACTAAACTGACTGGAGTCATTGTTACTGCCCAGGTCTTTGTCGCACTTTAACAGGCGTGCGTTGGCGTTCCCGTTGTTCACTGCATAGTTCTGATAGTTACCGTTGTTGTACGGCGGGCTGATCCCAGCCTTCCCCCGCTGACAGGGCGAATACTGTGGATCGTAATAATCAGCTTCAGATTTCAGCTGCAGGCCAACGGTGTGGTCGTATAGGCCGTTACCATAGCGACGGTCAACGGGCACTTGGTCGCGGCACGTCCAGGGTCGGCCGTACGCGTCGCAGCCGTTCTCCGAATCAGAGTCGTGCTCGACCTTTATGGGGGGCATCTCGGGCATCAGGTGACCGTCGAAGCATTCTCCGTAGCCATTCTCGCTCTTCACCAGGTCCACGCAGTAGGCGTCTGGGTCTGTGGGAAGCTGGACGTTGCCGTACAGTTTGGAGACAAACACCTCACCACCTCTGCCGCTGTGACAGCTGGGCGAGAGACGGTACGGCTTCCCGTACTGGCCGGTCTTGTTCATGCGGTTAGAGGGGATGTAGCCGACGCCCTGGCCTGCCCTGACGGGTCCTGAGTTCTGTCGCGGAGGCCAGCCGCCACCCACGCCTGGGCTCAGACCTTTATGGGGACCCACGGAGGACTTGCAGTAGTTTAGGGGCTCCTCCTGGTTATAGTAACCGTCCGGGCGGAACTTGAGGTTGTCTTTGGAGAGTGGGGTCCACGGAGTGTGGTGACCTCGCTGGGTTGCACCAGGAGTGGGACAGGAGAGCCGGAGAGAATCTGCAGCATCACCCATTCCTCCATTGAAGGAGTGTCTCCGGAGGTGTTCTCCACGCTCGCTGTGCAGGGGGAAAGAGTGGAAAGTGGAAGTGGAAAGAGAAGGAAAAAAATAGATCATTAGTCACAAAACAAAGACACAAAACTTACAAAGTTTTACTGTTTTTCAACAAAGTCCACAAAGAGCCATTCTCTACCCATGTATCCATATGGCAACCACTGCATACTCAATGTTTTTGTTTCTTTTCTGCCGAATGACTCAAAGCATAAAAATTCTAAGTTTGGTTCAATTTAGTTCACGAGAGGCTCTTTCCAAAAGTGACTCATCTTTTCCGGGATGTGTCTCATCTGAAAATTGAGAACAGAGTCAACATCCAGAACCCCAAAGATCAATGATGGCCCGGTCTCCTAGTTTATAGGCAGCACAATGCAATATATCTTCATGTTTACACAGTGCAGTAGCTGAACCCGAATGTGTTCAGTAACTGCATGAAAGCCTTTTCAAACTGTATTTTCTTATGATTTTTAAGTTTGAAATTGATCTTGTTGAACGCTGAGTAAGCGATTGATCGAAAAAGATACAAGAGCTAAATTATATTTATAACTATTACAGCATTCTGATTAATCAGCATTCATACGTTAAAATGCCTTTTCCAGTTTTTCCCGTACTTGTTTGACTTGTTTCTGCGGCTTTCTTTGTGCCCCCCCACAAAAACAATAATCAAAATATGTTTTTTTCCCCTCTTCATCTTTTCAGTTTTTATATGGAAACCCAATTACAGTGCATGGCTACAGTGGTAATAACAGGGTTTAATTTGCGGTTCTGTGAGTGATTATTCAGGAATTCTAAAGGCAAATGTTTCTTTTTGTTTGTCTGCTTCCAAATACGTTTCTGCATTTTTCCTATCTTTCAAATATCTCTCAACCTGAGCACAGCACAGCTGAAGGTCTTTAATACAACCGAGCTGTAAAATGAGTCTTTTCTTAGCTCTTAGATTGTTCTAGCAGTAGCTACAATTTCACTATAACAGGCTTGCAAAGAAATGAACTAAGGGACATGTTTTCAGTGACATCTGCCGACTAGTGACACGAAATGACCAAAAAGAGAAGTATTGCTTTCTATTTTTTGTTATAATAGCCTGACGCAGTTTCACTGCCACTTGTGTTTCCTAGTTTTAAAAAAGTCTACATATACTCAGAATTTAGAGCAGAACTGGAGATCGTTGTGCAACAATAAAGTCAGCAGGCTTTCGGGAATCTGACTGTAAGTTTCATCCAAGTCAT